CTCCGTGTAAAAGGTGAAATGTATTCAGAAAGATAACAGTGTACACATATTTGCACACATAAGGCAAATAGATAAACTCCAGGAGCTTTCTTAGTCTTGTACCATGTAGTCTGCTGGCAGGAGGCAATGGGAATGGTAGTCCAACAAGGCAAACATATAGGCATAGACCTATAACTATGGTAAACTCAGCAATAGTGAATGCCATCCACGATCCTTTGGCCCACCAAATATTTTTGGCTGATAGATCTCATAATCCCTTACAACTAACCTATGCAAGATATTATTTCTGGGAGCAGAAAACCAAAATATCTGGCTGCCAAAGATTCAAGTCAAATTGTTAGTACCAAATCGTCATTGGTCAAATACCCAGATAACAGGATAAAAATAAACAGAAGTGTATCATTAATACATGTATATTTTTCTCTAATATACCCAGTCCCCAACATTTGCTGGAGTTAGATGGAAAGTAGAAAACTGCCAAAAATTATTTTTTACCCAACAGGATATCTTTTTAGGAATTTCCAGTCTTGATCATAGAGTCACACTGGAGGATCTAAATCTTCCAAGAGAGACCTTATTAATCAAATCAAGAAAAGTCAAACCTGCAAATACAACAGTACAGTTCAAAAATACCTCAAAAAATCATAAACCTGATCACATACTATTGTAAACTAACTGGATTTGTTTTCAGGGTTTTTTTTTTCTTTTTATAGAAATGATCTTAGCTTTCTACATCAAATACGTCACATCCAAAGGAATATCTAAAACCTCTCATGAGGTCCACATTTGAATATTTCTAAAGGCTGTTTAAGGATCAGTTTTGGAAAAATAAATTACAGCTGTTGTAGGTGCCTTTTTGATATTCTTAGGTTACAAAACAGTTCCTTAGAACATTTCAAAGGGAGAAACATGAATGGGATTCGGTTTTAAAAGCCTGAAATTGTGACATAAAAAGTCTACAAACCTATACTTCCAAGAACAGCAGTGATTAACTCTAAAGAATCAGGGTGTCTAATTGCAATTCAGGTCTAGTCTGACCGAAATATCATTATTTTCCTAAATAAGCCTACCCATAATTCAAGTGTAGGACTATGACTAGGTTCGAATTGGCACTCAGTCATGGAAAACCTACTGGGTGACTGGGTTGCTGTGAGTTTTCCAAGCTGTATGGCCATGTTCCTGAAGCATTCCCTCCTGACATTTCACCCACATCTATGACAGGCATCCTCGGAGGTTGTGAGGTTTGTATATTTGTAGAATGTCCAGGATGGGAGAAAGAACTCATGTCTGTTTGAGGCAAGTGTGAATGATGCAATTGATCGCCTTGATTAGCATTGACTAGCCTTGCAACTCCAAGGCTTGGCTGTTTTCTGCCTGGGGGAATTCTTTGTTGGGAGGTGATTAGCTGGCCCTAGTTGTTTCTTGTCTGGAATTCTCCTTTTTTTGAGTGTTGTTATTTACTTACGTAAAGGTAAAGGTTTTCCCCTGACATTAAGTCCAGTTGTGTCCAACTCTGGGGGTTGGTGCTCATCTCCATGTCTAAGCCGAAGAGCCGGCATTGTCCAAAGACACCTCCAAGGTCATGTGGCTGGCATGACTACATGGTGTGCTGTCACCTTCCTGCCGGAGCAGTACCTACTAATCCACTCACATTTGCATGTTTTCGAACTGCTAGGTTGGCAGAAGCTGGGGCTTACAGCAGGAGCTCACAACGCTCTCCAGATTTTTACCTGAGACCTTTCGGTTAGCAAGTTCAGCAGCTCAGCAGTTTAACCCACTGCACCACCACAGGCTCCTGATTTTAGAGTTTTTAAATATTGGTAGCCAGATTTTGTTCATTTTCATGTGGCTTCTCTGTGTAGTCTGACATGGTGGGTGTTAGAGTGGTCCAGCATTTCAGTGTTCTCAAATAATATGCTGTGTCCAGGTTGGTTCATCAAATGCTCTGCTATGGCTGACTTCTTTGGTTGAAGTAGCCTGCTCTGCAGGGGTCTACCGTATACCATACGGCTGTGGAAATGTCTACGTAGGGACCACCAAACACTGTGACCAAGCATAAATCAAGGAACATGAAAGGTGCTTCAACCAGAGAAGCCAGCCATAGCAGAGCACTTGATGAACCAATCTGGACACAGCACATTATTTAAGAACGCAGAAATGCTGGACCACTCTCACAACTACCATCTCAGACTACACAGAGAAACCATTGAAATCCACAAACATGTGGACAATTTCAACAGAAAGGAGGAAGCCATGCAAATGAACAAATCTGGCTATCAGTATTTAAAAAACTCTAGAAGTAGGACAGTAAATATAGAGCAACACTCCAAAAACAGGAATTCCAGGCAGGAAACAATCAGACCAGCTAACACCTCTCAACAAAGGATTCCCTCAGGCAGGAAACAGCCAAGCCTTAAAGTTGCAAGGCTATTCAATGCTAATCAAACTGGCCCAATTGCAACATTCACACCTTCCTCAAGCAGACAAGAGTTCCCTGGACAGTTCACAGATATATAAATCCCACTGGCCTAGTTTCCAACAGACCTCACAACCTCTGAGGATGCCTGCCATAGATGTGGGTGAAATTTCAGGAGAGAATGCTTCTGGAACATGGCCATACTTCCTGGAGAACTCAAGGCAATCCAGTGATTCTGGCCAGGAAAGCCTTCGACAACACTACTAGGTGAACTTGTGCAAGTCACAATCTCTCAGCCCCTGGAGAAAGCAAAAGCAAAAAACAAATCTTGCCGAGAAAACCCCATGAAAGCTTCCTCTTAGAATCGTAGAGTTGGAAGAGACCTCGTGGGCCATCCAGTCCAATCTCCCTGCCAAGAAGCAAGAAAATTGCATTCAAAGCACCTTCAGTCAGAAATACCTTGAAGGCATGCCACAATTGTTGTTTTTTTAAACAGTTCATTATGATATTTTTAGCTTATGTATCTTGTTTTTATTTCGGATTTATATCTCACATTCAGAGAAATGTGAGATATAAAATAGATTTTAAAATGCCATTGACAAAGCAGCCTGCTACTCTTTCTTCTGTGGAGGTAAGTACAGAATGGCATTACAATCCCAGCAGAGGTAGCCAATATCTTTCTGATCATAAGAGTTCACAAACACGAACACCACATTCAAGATTTCATATGAGATTTTGTGTGTTCATTAAGACAGCATATATAAAAAAGGATTTGGTTCAGTTGAACACCAGATCACAAAGCAGGCCCTTACTAAAAATCATGTTTTTAAATTTACTGAACAATGACACAAGATTCAAACCAACCCCTTGATTGTACTCATAGCTTGTACTTCAGAGAAAACCATTTTGGATTTAGCAGATCCAAGCATGTGCAAATATGCTGAGGGTGCTCACAGCCTCCTTCTTGCTTTCTTGCTTTAAAGCAGTGTTTCTCAAACTTCCTAATGCCGTGACCCCTTAATACAGTTCCTCATGTTGTGGTGACCCCCAACTGTAAAACTATTTTCATTGCTATTTTATAACTGTAATTTTGCTACTGTAAATATCTGATATGCAGGATGTATTTTCATTCACTGGACCAAATTTGGCACAAATACCCAATACGTCCAAATTTGAATACTGGTGAGGTTGTAGGGGGGATTGATTTTGTCATTTGGGAGTTGTTATTGCTGGGATTTGTAGTTAACCTACAATCAAAGAACATTCTGAACTCCACCAATGATGGAATTGAACCAAACTTGGGACACAGAACTCCCATGACTGACAGAAAATACTGGATGGGTTTGGTGGACACTGGCCTTGAGTTTTGGAATTGCAGTTCACCTACATCCAGAGAGCACTGTGGACTCAAACAATGATAGATCTGAACCAAACCCGGTACAAATACTCAATATGCCCAAATGTGGTGGAGTTTGGGGAAAATGGACCTTGACATTTGGGAGTTTTAGTTGCTGAGATTTATCATTCACCTACAATCAAAGAACATTCTGAATCCCACCAACAATAGAATTGGGCCAAATTTCCCTCACAGAACCCCCATGAGCAACAGAAAATACGGTTTTCCGATGGTCTTTGGCAGCCCCTCTGACACCCCCTCATGACCCCCTCCCCCGGTCTCAACCCCCAGGTAGAGAAACACTGCTTGAAAGCCTATATTGTGTCTCCTGTTAAAATATTAGATGTGGGGGACCACTGTAAGAATGGGTAAGAGATCTTCCTAAATCTTACTTTAGTCAAGACTCTGGGATCTGACGGTAAAACACAGACCACAAGGCATTTCATAATATGCTATATCAAAAGGAATTTACTAAAACACACACTTTTGATATGATATACTTTCTAAAGATCTGGCATGGTGCTGTGATTTCAGTGTTGGACGCCAACTCTGGAGACCAGGGTTTGAATCCCTGCTGAACCATTAAACCCACTGTATGATCTTTGGCAAGTCACTCTGTCTCAACTTCAGAGAGAGGCAAAGGCAAACCTGCTCTGAACAAATCATGTCAAGAAAACCCTATGTTTTAGTGTTGCTGTTAAGTCAAAAATTACTTGATCGTACAAAACAAACGTGCTTTTTACAAGGAAGCTGCTGCTGCTAGCTGCAGTGGTTTCTTTTTATGGCATGTATTGTTGTTATGTCAGACATACCAGTACAAAACTATCTTCATTCATATATGGTTTAACTGAAATATTGCATAAATATTACTAACGTATATAAATAGTATACAGGCAAAAGGGTGTACAGATGATCACAATTTTAGTTATTATACTTTGTTTCCAAGTAGAGGTTTTCACTAAAAGATCTTCGCGAGTGCACATCTATTTGCCCGCAAGCTACTCTTTATAGCAACTGCTAAAGGCACTTTCTAACTTTTGTAATAGACCAGGCAACATTGAAAAATACTATCCATGCTCCTTTGCTGCCAATTTCACAAGACGTAAACAGCATTTACTCTGTGGCATTCACTTGTATATTGAAAGCATTTTGAAGAGAAGCGTATGTTGAAATCCCAAACAACTGGAATTGTAAAATGAGTACCTTTTATTCATTTCTTTATTCATAGCACATTGAAATATTTATACAAAAGTCCAGACCTCTGAATTTTAATTTGTGGAATATTCCTCTCAATCTCCCACTCCCACATTAAAAAAAAAAGCCTAGCCAATTGTGCAAATCCTTCATGATTTCTATCACAACATGTATGCAAAAATTTGGATACATACTGAATTACGTGCCTTGCATTTTGGGGAGAAAAAAAGGTCTTATAAGTTACTTACTGAAGTCTCTGTGTGTTACATCACGCATCACCCAGCAATTAAAAAAACATGATCTGATCCTTACTAGTCTCTGGAAGATCAAAACCTTTTTCCTCGGCTGTCCTTAAGAAAGTGCCACTTTTTTTTTCCTATGAAACAAACATAATTGTCTGCAAAGTTACAGATTGTTCTCTTGACTTTCACAATCTTGGCTTCCTCAGCAAAGTTTTGCTAAGGTCTTTGACTTCTTCTGGGCTGTTGACTCTCTCGTATCCTAAAATGGCCATGGGCTGGTGGCAATACTCCTCCACTTGCTTGATCTGCTGAAAGCTCAGTGCTGTCCTCCAGGCATTCACGGCCTGGCTAGCATTCCTGGCAGAGACCACAAAGGGTTTGGAGGAGTATCCAGACCCACTGGTCATGTTGAGGGCAAACTTCTCCATCTCTGGGCTCACCATCAGGTTGACAAAGCCGTACACCTGCCGCAAAGTCTTGATGGGGTCCACTACCAAGTCTTCATAGCGGACGGCCATATAATTGCCTTTCAGCCAGTCTGGAGGGCGCAAAGCGGTCTGCAAGGTCCTTGCCATGCTCCCGCAGATCACTTCCATGGCCCCTAAGGCATGGTAGTCTGAGCCCCCTCCCCCTTCTTTTTTGCTATTGAGTTTGTGGCCTGCATCCAGGAAAGGCATGCGATGGATACGGGGGTCCCTGCTCCTTACCACCTGCAGGCTTTCCCGAATGAGACCGTGGCGGGATTTGATCCTGGAGCTTGCCACAGCCCGAGGGTCCCGGACCAGGTGGATGACTTTGAGAGCCAAGGAGGGGTCTTGCATCAGTGAAGCCAGTACTCCAATGTCAAAGACCCTCACTCCCTTTATGACTAAGGTGTGGTATTTAAGGCACTCCTCCTGAAGCAGGCCCAGCTGCTGTGGCGGGCACTTCTTGCACACCTTGTCATCCACCATGCCCACCACATCCTTGCGGTAGGCTGGGCAGAGAGGCGATGAGCAGATCACCTTGTTGGTGGCTGCCCCAAAGATGCCCAAGGTGGTGAGGTTCTTGCCTGCCCCGGCCGTGCTGTAGAGCTGGAAGACGGAAAGGTCACAACGGTAGAGGGAACTCAACATGTCCCGGGCTGCCCCTTGCAAGGAAACAGCATCACCCGGGTACAGCTTCTGCCACACATGCCACACCGGCTCATAGAGGAAGAAGACCTCCGGATTCTGGTTGAAGAGCTCCCCGAAGAAGGATGACCCCGAGCGCCAGGTGGTGAAGACATAGACCAGTTGTCGCTTGCGGGCGAGGGGCGCAGGAGGGCCATAGAGGGCCCGAGTGTCTGACCGGGACTGATAGGCATAGAAGGACATCTGCTGTGGATAAGGTGTGCGCCGGGCAGGAGAGGGCTCGCTGCACTGCTGAGGCCCCTTGTGCCACTTGTAGTCCAACAGGTTGAGCATGGTGAGGAGCAGGAGCAGCGCATAGCCCAAGCAGAGCACCAGCGCCTTCCGGCGGAAGACCTTCATGCTGGGTAGGGGGAGGCCGGTGGGGGCCCAAAGGATCCTTGGGCATCACAAGCAGGGACCCTGGGGGTCTGGCCTTGGACCGGCCCAGGCAATGGCCCCAGGGGAAGAAGAGGGCATCCCCCCTTTGCCCCTCTGGGAGGCCGGCCTGCCTCTGGGATGGAGGAAGCAAGTCTGGGCAGACATGGGGTGGCCCTCTCCGGCTCTGGGAATGAGCCTGGCTTCCTCTCTTCTTGTCCTTTCCCAAGCAGAATGTGAAGAAGGGTGAGAGAAGGGTGAAAGGAAGTGACAGCAAGGGATAGCTTAACACATCATCCCAATGAGGGCACTGGAGGCAGAGGAAAGGAGTCTTCAGTTCCTGAAGAACCAACTCCAGTTTCTGGAGAACCAACTCAAAAAAGAAGGGCTCCTTCTGTAACAATAGTCCAGGGAGGAGGAAAGGGAGAACTCCTTGGCACCCAGTTAACACATAACCCAGGAAAGGAGGGTGTAGGATGCAGAGATGACCCTTCAGTTCCTGGAGAACCAACTCCAAGAGAAAGTGGGGCTCCTTCTGCCCTCCTTGGTAATGCAACAATAGTCTAGGGAAGAGGAGGAAAGGGAGAACTCCTTGGCACCCAGATAACACATAACCCAGGAAAGGAGGGCGTAGGAAGCAGAGGAGTCTTCAGTTCCTGGAGAGCCAACTCCAACAGAAAGAAGGGCTCCTTCTGCCCTGATTGGAGATTTAATAATAATCTAGGAAGGGAGGAGGAAAGGGAGAACTCCTTGGCACCCAGTTAACGCATTATCAAGGAAAGGAAGTCATGGAAAGCAGAGGAGATGGGTCTTAGTTCTTGAAGAACCAACTTCAAGAGGAAGAAGGGCTCCTTCTTCCCTCCTTGGCAATTCACAATAGTCCAGGGAGAAGGAGGAAAGGAGGGAGGAAAGGGAGAACTCCTTGGCACCCTGTTAACGCATTACCCAGGAAAGGAGAGGAGATGAGTCTTGAGTCCCAGGTGAGATTCCTCTTGGCAACACGACGCCCCTCCGGGAGAGCAGGAGGAGGAAGAGCCGGGGAAGGACTTCTTGGCACCAAGTTAAGACAACACCACGGAATGGATCTGCGAGGGAGAGCAGCCGTGCCCGCAGTCACTCTGGAGAAGCAGCCGGAGAAGAGGCAGGAGGGCAAGAGGGCTCCTGGGCGCCCCTTTGGCGCATCATCCCCCGAAGGAGAGGAAGGCGAGGAAAGGCGTCCTCGCTTCCACCGGCAGCCTCGGGACCTTCCGCACCGGAGGGAGGACGAAGAGGCAGAGTCGGGGAAGCGGGCAAACTTTGGGGCTGGGGAAAGTGCATGGCGGGCTGCGCAGTTTCCGCCAATCCTCCGGGCAAAGAGGGAGGCCTCCGGGGGGAGATCCGTCTCGCTACAGCTCTCCCTCTCTGCTCGCTCCGCCTCGCCTGCTGCTGCTACTGCTGCTGCCCTTCGCTTGCAAAAGCCCGGCAGGAAGGAGAAGCATCGGGAGAAGAGGAGGGAGAGCGGGCTCCTCGGCCCCGCAAGGCTCCGCAGGGCTCAGCTGCCGCTGCCCTTTCTCCATCGGCAGCCCATTGGAGAGAGGCGCTCCAAAGGGAGGGAAGAAGGGATGGGAGCAGGAGATGCGATGGTGACGGAGGAGGAGGAGGAAGGCGGGCGCTGCAGAAGAAGCCCAGCGGCAAAAGGCAGCAATCCTCCGCCTCCCTCTCGCCCGGCTCGCGCCCCCCTCTGCTGCGCGGCCTCCCTCCCCCGCAAGAACGCCCCCGAGGCCCTCTCCCCATTGGGCGCCGCGCCTGCCACTCAACGCCACTCCCCGCCCTCTCCGCCTCCCCTAAAAGAAGCCTTGGTTTTGAGGTTGCTGCTGAGAGGAGGGGCGGGCGGGCAGGCGGGACCACAAAGCTTCCCCCGCACCGCCGCAGGACTCGCCTTCCTTCCTTCCTTCCCTCCATCTCCCGCCTTTTATATATATATCTCTGGAACTGGACTCCAACCTCATTGGCTCGCTCTCTGCTCTTGGAGAGAGATGGGGAAAGTTTTTTTTAGGGTTTTTTTTTTCAATTTATTTCCCAAACTGCATCCCACTTTCTTCTTGAAAGGGTTGCTTTCTGGGCACCACAATTGAAGAGAGGTATTGACAAGCTGGAATGTGTCCAGAGGAAGGCGACTAAAATGATCAAGGGTCTGGAGAACAAGCCCTATGAGGAGCGGCTTAAGGAGCTGGGCATGTTTAGCCTGCAGAAGAGAAGGCTGAGAGGAGACCATGTAAGGGGCACTCATAGGGAGGAGAGAGCAAGCTTGTTTTTTGCTGCCCTGGAGACTAGGGTGTTGGGCAATGGCTTCAACCTACAAAGGAGATTCCATCTGAACATTAGGAAGAACTTCCTGACTGTGAGAGCCGTTCAGCAGTGGAACTCTCTGCCCGGAGTGTGGTGGAGGCTCCTTCTTTGGAAGCTTTTAAACAGAGGCTGGATGGCCATCTGTCAGGGGTGCTTTGAATGCAATATTCCTGCATCTTGGCAGGGTGTTGGACTGGATGGCCCATGAGGCCTCTTCCAATTCTATGATTCTATATCTAGAATATGTGCCTTCCTTCCCTCCATCTCCCTCCTTTTATACATATATATCTGGAGCTGGACTCCAACCACATTGGCTTGCTATCTGCTCTTGGCTTTCCAAGAGCAGATAGCAAGCCAATGCGGTTGGAGTCCAGGATAGGGAAAGTTTTTTTCTTCTTTTTCTCACATTGCATCACGCTTCCTCTTTTTCCTACTCCAGGGAAGGTAAAGATGTTCTCCAGTCATGCAGTCATGGCACCCACTTGAACTGCCCTTGCTCAAGGCTGTGCAACCCTGGGAGTTCTAGTTTGACAAGACCTTTCGCCTTAAAATTATAACAGTAAAAAAAAAAGAACACTCAAACACAGGGGAACTCCAGACAAGAAACAATCAGGGACAGCTGAACACCTCTCAACAAAGGATTCCCCCAGGCAGCAACAAGCAATGCCTAAAAACTGTCAGGCCATCAAATGCTAATCAAGGTGGCCAGTTGAAACATTCACACCTAGCTCCAACAGCCAAGAGTTCTTTCTCTCACCTTGGACTTCCCAGAAATATATAAACCCAATTTTCCTAGTTTCCAACAGACCTCACAACCTCTGAGGATACCTGCCATAGATGCAAGTGAAACGTCAGGAGAGAATGCTTCTAGAACATGGCCATACAGCCCAAAAAAACCTACAGCCACCCTTTAACCTACGCTGCCAAAGAGGGGCTGGTGCCTCACCCAACTACAACTCCCAGGGTTCCATAGCCTTGAGCCATGGCAAATAAAGTGATGTGAAACATTGAGCCATGGCAATTAAAGTGATGTGAAACTGCATTCATTCCACAGTGTAGATTGGGCATGGGCAAACTTTGTCCCTTCAGGTGTTTTGGATTTCTATTCCCACAATTCCTAACAGCCTCAGACCCTTTCCTTTTCACCCTCAGCCATAAATGGCTGAGAGTGATAAGGAAAGGGCCTGAGGCTGTTAGGAATTGTGGGAATAGAAATCCAAAACATCTGGAGGACCAAATTTTCCCCATGCCCAATCTACAGTGTGGAATGAATGCAGTTTCACATCACTTTATTTGCCATGGCTCAATGCTAGGGAATTATGGTTTGGTAAAGTACAAGCACCTTTTGCATAGAAAGCAGAAAATCTTGTAAAGCTACATATCCCAAAATCCCATAATAATAATAATAATAATTTTATACCCCGCCTCCATCTCCCCAAAGGGATTCGAGGCAGCTTACAAAGGGACAAGCACAAAAAAGCACAGATTAAAACAGCCCAATAAAATAAAATCAAAAATAAAATCAAAATATCAAAATAAAATTAACACATCACAGTAACACAACATAACATTATAAAAGCAATCCCAAGGCTGAACAGTAATAAATACTGAGCCGATAGAGCTTACAGTTTGTGCAATACTTTCTGTATAGTACTAAGGAAAAGTGCAAAATCCAATAAAAAGTAGGGCTGGAAGAGTAATGTCATTTTGCATTAAAATGCCAGGATTATAGAGCAGAGGGCAGTACTAAAGTGCAGGAGCTCTTGGTAAGTTAGGGGCCGATTATCTGGTGAACTGCTTAGTCATAGGCACAGTGGAACATCCACATTCTTAGGTCCTTGCGAAAGGTGGACAGGGTGGGTGCCCACCCGTCTGATCTCCCTAGGGAGAGAGTTCCAGAGCCAGGGGGCCACCACCAAGAATGCCCTCTCCCCCGTTCCCACCAACTGAGCTTGAGACGATTGTGGAAGTGAGAGAAGGGCCTCCCCAGAAAATCTTAGAGCTTGCGCTGGTTCGTAGGGGAAGATGTGATCGCGAAGATGGGCAGGTTCCAAACTGTTTAGGGCTTTGTATTGATGAAGGAGTAAGCCTTCTTGGTGGTGGCCCCCTGGCTCTGGAACTCTTTCCTTAGGGAGATTAGACTGGCACCCACCCTGCCCACCTTTCACAAGGACCTAAAAACGTGGATGTTCCACTGTGCCTATGACTAGGCAGAGCTCAGTGTTTATTACTGTTCAGCCTTGGGATTGCTTTTATGATGTTATGTTGCGTTATTGTGATGTGTTAATTTTATTTCGATATTTTGATTTTACTTTATTGTGCTATGTTTTAATCTGTATTTTTTTCAGGCTTATTCCTTCGTAAGCCACCCTGAATCCCTTAGGGGAGATGGAAGCGGGGTATAAAAATAAAGTTGTTATTATTATTATTATTATTATTATTATTATTATTATGAGATTTTGGGATATGTAGTTTTACAAGGTCTTCTGCTTTCTTTGCAAAAGGTGCTTGTGCTTCACCAAACTACACCTCCCATAATTTCGTAGCATTGAGCCATGGCAATTAAAGTGATGCGAAACTGCATTCATTCCACAGTGTAGATCAGGCATGGGCAAACTTCGGCTCTCCAGGTGTTTTGGACTTCAATTCCCACAATTCCTAACAGCCTCAGGCCCTTTCCTTTTCACCCTCAGCTGCTTAAGCCTAGAGGACCAAAGTTTGTCCATGCTAAGTGTATATGCATCCTCTGATATCATTAATGATAGTGGTGTAGCTGTTAGTGATGTATAGGGGCCAAAGTGGTGAGACATCAGACTTGAAAATCATGAAATTGTGGAATGTTCTTCCTTTTTGGTGCCTAGTTTTAGCTGCTCAGAGGGGTCCGGCCTGGTAAGTACATGGATAGGATTTCCCTTGAGAGAGTGCCAGAGACATTTAGGAAATCCTCCTTCCAGGGATCACGGAGAACTGCTGCCAGAGGTGACAATACCGGGCTGGATTGCATTGCTCAACTTCCTGTGTGGTTTTGTCATTTTTTAAGGTGTCTCCTGACAAAGGATTCCAACTGCTCAGAGTTAAAAGGCACTGTGCAGCTGTTCCATCTGTGTGTTTTTTCCTTCATAAGTTTTTCTCCTGTAAGAATAGAAGAAGAAAGAAAGGAAGGGCTGCAAACTGAAAATATTGTCACCTGACATTCCATGAACAGGGCATTGTTCAGGGCATAGACTAGGAAAAGCCTAGTCTAGAAAGAAGTGTGGAGAATTCATTGAGGACCAAAACAAGACAGCTATTTATTTATTTATTGACTCGT